CTAATATGACTTTCCTGTTTAGGGGCCATTAATTGTAAAATCGTCAACATTTCATGGATTCAATCATCCCATGTTAAACAAATATCAATTAATAGGGTTGTTTAGCAAAATTATACAAACCAAGCAATGGAGAATAAGCCAATACCTGAAATCCCGCAATAAAAAGAGAACCATCAGCCGCAAATTGTGATACATAAGCACAACTCTTCATCTTATCAATCATCCGAGGACCACAGAAAGGCAAATATTGGCTCAAAATATGACAATTGTCGGCAGATGAAAATCTCCCCCTCCCACTATAGTTCCCCTCTCGACCGATCAACATTTTAACAGGTGGTGAAACAGGTAACCTTGACTTTCCAGCCAGGACCCGGCTCAAATGCTCATGGGGTGTCGATCTAAGGTTTGTGAGTTGCACAATTTCATGATCAAGATAACTCCATACCTCATTTGACCCCTGACTAGCACCTGAACCCCCAACTCCATTTACACTATCACAAGTATCAACATTCTTTCCAGACCTACTCATCTTGAACACTACTAGTTTCTTTGTCACCTAACTGACTATCTACACCAATTTAATACATTCATGATAAATTGAGCTCTAAAACGTTAGATATCCAATGGGTCTTCTCTCTATCGCCAAAAAACGAGTGTTGAACACAGTTAATCCTGCACATAACATCTCAGTTTAGCCCAATTACAATCTTGAAGCAAAAAAGACAAGGTAACTAATTAATCAAAATCATCTAACAAATCGTATAAGGATCATGAGCAAATGGGTAGCTCCAAGATGGGTTAAAACTTTCAAATTCCCGAAACACGTGAACTAAATTTACCCAACAAGACTGACGTAATCAGTGACGCACCCACTCGTATCAATGCGTGAATAGAGACATATACACCGCTGAATCGTAATAAAAATAGAAAAAACTGAATTAATTTAAGGGAAATGAATGAATTGGAGATTATAAGAGTTATAGCATCGTCTTACCTTCGATATAAGCTAATCAGACAAAGTGTTTTCTCCAGAAAAACTGGGTTAGAGAAGTATCAGATTTTCGTTTTTTCGGGAAGTGAAGTATCATCAGGTTTGGTAGGAGATATTGAGGAAAGTAAAAAAAGTTATATATAGAGGGCGAAAATGAACCTGTGTTCTGTGAAGTCAAGGAGGGTCCCATTACACAGACGAGTAAGTGAAGGGGTATGTGTATTCACGCGCAGATGACCGCGTGTGATCGTGAAAAAAACACGAATTTTGGAGTATCTTAAGATTGATGGATTAAATTCCGACACATATGTTATGCAAAATCCGCTATGCTATGCTTTCGCTAATCATTACCGAGCAAAAAAGAAACAACTATGTGCAGCTGTTGAATCAATGGTCTAATCACTGGTTTAACAGCCGTAATTAATTTGATATAAATTTTAATACATAAATTTGATATATAAAAAATTATCCAAAAAAAGTTAACACCCAATACACTGTTGTGGTATTGAAAAAATTAGTAAAAATAATTATTATAATAGTAATAAAAATATTCATAAAAATAATAATTTTTTCTATATCATAAAAAAATAATAATCCCAATGATAGTAAAAAAAATTCATAAAAATGATATAAACACTTGCAAAAATGTTTTTTTATTATAAAAATACTCACATAGGTGATAAATTATTCATAAGAACAATAAATTTTAGATGTACGATATCAAATTTTTTTATTGGGTACCGTAATCAAGTCCAATATATTATTGCCTGCCAGATAAAATATTTTTACAACTACGTAATTATTGTTATATGATATTATTATTCAATAAGAATATAATAAGTGAGTAAATAAATAACACATATTGTAGTAACCAAACTCAATCTCAGTTTGTAGCCACTGCATATAAAAAAATATAGTATATTTTATCTATTTTATTATATTTTTATCGGATAATAATATCATGTGACATTAATGATACAGTGTCATCGTTGTATTAAATTAAAAGTTAGTTATAGATTACAACTTTCTTTTATTTTCTTGTGTGTTTTATAAAAAAAAAAATTGGTTAGTTGTCAAAAAATTTAAGTATGAAATAAAATTATTTTTTCCATTATTTTTCATTTTATACTAATCAAACATATAAAAATTTAAAAAATACACTTTGTCACTTAAAACTTGTAGTTATTTATTAAGTATTGTTACAACATTATACGATGGCCAACTTTGAAAGAAAGAAAAGTTGAAAAATAAAAAAAGCGAAATAAAATATTTTGTCAATGACAAGAGCTATCAAAAATGTTTTTCAGATTTTGTTTCTTAAATTGAAATTTTGAACTTGAATCCATGATGCATAAGAAAATATGGAAATTTATGTTGTTAAACCAATGATGTAAATTCTTATAATTTATGAAACTACATGATTTCTAAGAATGTCAATTGATGAAAGCAATCAACATGCTAAATTCCCAACTCTAAACTTATATCTTGGCAAAACCCAATAGTTTGAAATCATATACACAAAGTACAAACGTATAATTGAAATTTTCTAATAGCCCCCGTTGCAATAGTCCTTCATGCTCAAATCTTATAATATGTGCCATTGGTTGACAAATAATACAAAACAAAGGAATGCAAATGTTGATCTAAAAGAAATTAAGGAAATTTTAAGGCTAGAACATAACATACACACATGTATTCTACCTCCGCCTTTTCTACCCCTGCCGACAACTCAATTCCCATACCCAACAAGTAAAAAAAAAAAACAAGATTTACAAAGTGGAAAGATTTTCACCGAAATCAATAATCTAATCAAAATTGGTAAGGTCAAACCACAGAAAACAACTTATAACTCTTAAAAATATTTAAAAATATGCTCTTCTAAAATTTCATGACCATTCCACAATTTCAATTTCAAAACCCATTTTAGATTTTTTAAGCATAAAAAGAATAATTTCAAATAAATAGTTAAGGGTAATGTACGTGTGTGTTATGTGTTTATACTGTGCATGAAAGTGATTTTGTGGCGTGTGTTGCGTGTGTGGGTGGGCTATGCGACGTGTGGCGTGTGTGTTGTGCATGCTACGTGTGTGCGTTGAGTGTTAGGGTAATTTGATTGAACACATTGTGTTTATTTGGTTGAACACCTTGCACGCGAGGTGTGTGTTGTGTGAAGAGAGAGACTAAGATTGAGACATAGATAACAGAGACTCGTGTGGTTGTTGGCATCTGAGAGAGATTGAGATAACAGAAACGAGGAGGGGAAGAAGAGAGAATTAAGAAGAGGGGAGACGCGAATTAGGGCATCTACGATGGTGGTTTGTGCACTGAAAGGATGACAAAAATAAGGAAAGGAAAGGAAAGGGAAGGGGAGGGCAAAAAGAAAACTACTTCAGAGGGACGCCAGTGTTGTGGCGATGGGCTGGTCTTCTCTTGAAAATCCAATAATAACCAAAAGAATGCGATGTATATATTTGTCGAACATTTTTTGCGTATCGTCGTCGTTGTTACTATTAAGAGGCGGTGTGTTTGCTTCAATTGAGATGAGGGTTAGAAAACAGAGAGGAGGGTGAAAGAGATGGAGGTAAAGTAAAGAGAGGGTGAGAGAATAGGCAAAGATGGGGAGAGATATGAGGGAGCTGGGGCAGAGAGATACTGGGTATGCTAGGCAGAGAAAGTTGAAGTTGAGAGTGGTGAAGGAAAAGAGAGATGACATGTGACAGAATGATTGAGAGTGATTTTAATATTTGGATCAATTTTATACCTTTGAGATTTTTGGGAGTAATTTTAGACAATTGGATCAATATTTTTAAACAAATTTGAACCATTCTTGTGTTTTTCTAATTTTACGATTTAAATTGTGATCTATCGTATTAGTATAGGTTTCAACACGTCACTTACCGGGGGAAAAAAAAAAAGTATTTCAACACGTCATCTCGTATCTCCCTCCAAATAAATACCATTCCACACAAATAGTCTGATTAGATTCTAGGGTTAGGGTTTTACCCGACCAGGTTAGCTTTTTCAGAGTCCTCCTTTGAACGAGAGAGAGAGAGAGCGAAGGTTTGGAAGCCATGGGGAGGTACAGAAGCCGAAGCAGGAGTTACAGCCCAAGGAGACGCAAACGCTACGACGATCCTCGCGAAAGGTCCCGCAGAGACCGTCGATCCCCTGCCCCTTCTGGTCTTCTTGTTCGCAACATCTCCCTTAATGCAAGGTCTGTAATAATCCTGTTCTAATTGTCTCTTCTAACTATGTTTTTCCGATTTATATCTGTATATGCACACTTTTATAGCGTTTTTTTTACCTTGTTTATCGTTCGTTGCTTGTTGTCAATAGTTTTCAAAAATGTTCATTATTCCGACAATTGTAGGGCGTTTCCCACATTTCTCTTCGATTATTTACAAAATTTGCGAACATTTTTTTCATCGTTATTGAAATATAGTCCTTATCGTTGTACCTCATTTCTAGGAGTTTTCATTTGTTCTATTATATGTTGGTTGCATATTTTTAGGGTAGCAAAATGAATTAAGGGGAAAAAGAGAAAAAATAGTACAGATATTTAGGTGGCAAATCTAATAGGCAATTGTTTACCTTTTCTTTTCACATGGGAACTCAACTATGTTAACCGCTTGACATTGTTAATGTAATCTGTTCAAATTGAGGATTATTCATTAGTCTCTTGTGGGTGTAGGAGAGAGGGAGACTGGAAAAGTTAATTATTTTGTAATAGATGCTTCTGAAAATGGGAGAAATCCCTAATGGTACCACTTGATGTTGTGCAGGCCTGAAGATCTTAGAATTCCATTTGAACGATTTGGTCCAGTAAAGGATGTGTATCTGCCGAAGGATTACTACAGCGGGTATGCTTTGTTTTTGACATTTTGTGTTTCATTTTCTAGTATTTTTTTCGCAGATTCATGGTGTTGCCAGTGTCTATTTACATTTTATCATTATCATTTTTTTTTCGTAAGTAGATAGTTTACTATGGAAGATTTTACTTTCACTGTTCTCATTGAAACGGTTGAGAAAATAGGGAGCAAGCATATTTAAAGTAAATTCAGAGTGACACAAAAGGATCTTAAAACTACACTAGGCAATGAAAATGCAACCACAAATATTTTCTCAGTTATCATGTACAAGAGAGCTTCCATTACTAGAATATAGAAACGGATTAATATATGAACACATATTGAAAAAGCTCCTGTGTTTATGAGCCACTGCTGTTGCTTCATAGGTTGTCACTCAACATGAGACTGCCTTTAACGAGCTATTGCTTGTGAAGTAGACTTCTATGTTAAGTTGGCAAAATATAGTTTCTGGAAATAGTAAGACCAAAGGCAATAATGCTTTCATTGTCTTGTGGTTATCTGTTGTATTTATTTATATTGTTTTTGAATGGAAAATCATGTCCAATACTTATGGATGTTGGGATTGGATAATGGGCTGAAAAATCGTTTAATAGTGTTTGAAAATTTTGATGACAAGTCTTAGAAATGAGAAAAAGGAAGGACACCATTGTTAGCTTACAAAAAAGATAAAAATAAAGACAGCAATCATACATGCATGGCACTGGAACATTGCTCCACATTTTAAAACATCACAGCTGAGTTTTCTTTGTCATTACATTTATTTTTTGTCTTGGGCTTAGCTAGGGAGTAATATATATTTACCTGTACATACTATTCTTCATTTGGGACCCTGCTTTTAGGAATAAAATTATTCATACATGGATACTCATCAACTGCAACAGTTTGGGCACCTTCGAGCCTGGAGACATGTTTGTTACAATTGAAAACCAAGGTTATGTTCTTAAAGTAGGAGTTCGATTATCACCCAAAAAAAAGGGAGTTTGATGCATGGTACTTGGAAAGGTTCTGGGCTAGTGTTGGTGTTACTGCTCATTTTACATTTTAGCATCCATGTGTTTAGCTTCATGTTTCTTACAGAGACATACCTTTTACACAAACCACAGGTAAAAGATGATATCAGTGGTGGATTTTGTGGGCTCTACAGTATAAATGCTGTCCTTTTAGTGTTGTATCACAGATTTCTGTGGCTTAGCATACTTCTTACTTGAATTTCTAGGGAGCCGAGAGGCTTTGGATTTGTGAAGTTTCGTTATGCTGAAGATGCTACTGAGGCAAAGCAACGACTAGATCGTGCAGTTATTGGAGGACGTGAGATAAGAATTGTTTTCGCAGAAGAGAATAGGAAAACTCCTCAGGAAATGCGTAGGACGACACGCCCAAGGTGTAATACAGTTGTACTTGTCTGTTGACATGGTTGCATGAATTTTTTCCGAAAGAGAATTTGAGTTTTTATTTCAAGCAGTTGCTTACTCTTTTTTCCATCTTATATGTAGTGGTCGAGGAAGCTACAGGAGGCGAAGTCCTTCGAGGTCCCCAAGACGCCGATATAGCTGTCAGTTTGAATTTTCAATCTTTTTACTCATTTGACATTTTAAACCAGATATTACGAGCTTTTTAGCATATGCAGTTAAATGATGACTATAACGGCATTCATACTGTCCACTAGTATTGGCACATATAGTTTTTTTTTTTTTTGTTAGTTATTCTGCTGATTTTTTGTAGTTCTTTTATTGCAGCTTACTCGCCCTCACCTTCTCCACTGAGACATGACTCAAGGTCTGTTTTTTAATATATTTTTGCACGAGGAGTTTTAGTTCTGCTCTTATATCCTGTGTGCTTTGGCGTTCTTGCACTCTCATTTATAATAACTTGTGCTAGCCTCACCAACATACTATTATTATCGTCTCCCCCTTCTCTCTCTCTCTCTACACAGAAAATTTTGAATTTTGTTATGGTCCTTGTGCTGTTGTGTAGTTCCATGGAATGTCAAAGGATGAAATGCCTACATATAATGTTGGGACTGCACTCTATATATTGTAAGCAAGGATCAAAATATCGTTTTGAACTAGTTGAAATTGACGAAACGTTTTCATTTTTAAGGAGACCAAAACGAATTAGTGATTGAATTGAAATTCCAATACTTAAATATGTTTTGAGGGATTTTGGAACGTTTCGAGTTGTTTCGAAATGTTTTTGCGTGTTTTTACCACTGTTTCAGATTACTCGAGGTGCTTCAAGATATTTAGACTAATACTTTGAAATATTTAAAAATAAATTCCTAAATTTTCTATCTTTTTCCATTATGTTTCTGAAATGTTTCTGTTTCTTAGATCACCGAAACAATATGCCACAATGATATTTTGGTACTTGATTGTAAGCATGTTAGCAAAATGTTTAACTGTCTTCCAGCAAGTGTCGGGGCATTTACTCGATGATTGGCAGTGAGAAAGAACGAGATTTTTTCCTTCTGTAAGGCGACTGCATTAGGGGGCACTTGAGTCCTATGTAGTTGAGTCAGACTTTACAAAATATTGAAACTCAAATAAGTTCTAATGTGGACCCATCCCTACCCAACTCACCTAAGGTAAAAAAAGCATTCTGTTTGGTTGAGGCTACTAGCATGGTGCTGTAGCTGTCTGTCTACACTGGACTTACATTAGATCACGCTATTAATACTTCTTCGGTCATGATGGCTCTCTGTTGATTTGCTAAGTGACATTTAAATTAAAAAACAGAGCTTCACTTTTTTCTTTTGGTCTTTTCTTTTTGCTCGTACTCTTCAATATTGTAGGTTTCTTGATACCCACATTGCTATCTTTTTAATGCACATATTGTTACTCAGCATATGCATGTGTTCCTCTGGATTGAATATGACATCTGCTGATGGCCTTGTTCATGCAGATTCCAAAGTGAAAAAGAGAGATTATAAAGAACTCAGGATTAATAAAGACAAAAGAGAAAAGGGATCATAAAGTCAAAGACTTTTTGCTTACCTTTAAAAGACTCACCAGAAGTTTCTTAATCCACCTTCATCAACTATAATGTACTGAGCCCCATTTACTTTTTTGTGTTTTGAGTTTTTGCTTGTAAGGGTTCCATCAAAACATCGCTTTTGAGATGATTACTATCACAAAATTACGGTTGTAATTCTCAGTTTGATATCTTAATGTTGCATACTATCCAGTTAAAGAAAGAATATAGAGCTTATAGTTGGCCAAAGAAAGATATCATCTTCAAAGAAAGGATGCCATTCAAAGTTTTTACTGGTAGAGGTATGATGAGATTTTCCAAGAAAAGATATTATGAAGTGTTAAAGTTGTGGCAAGGACAGCTGTGAAGTTATCAGATGCCGATCAACCAGTGCGTCATAAAGCCTTAAAAATGTGTTTGCATCAAAGTGTTGTTATGTTTGTTCACAAACTCTGAAAAGGTGCAGGTAAAGGTTATGTTTTATCTTTTCCAATTTGAGTGAGGGAACTGAGTGAAACATATGCCAAAACATATCACTGGATGTTTGTTTTTGTGAAGTGTGTTCAAACAATTCTGTTTATAGTGTCTCATGAAATTGAGTAGGGAAATGCCCTTGTGAGATTCAGATGTGTCCAGTATCTCGGGATGTTTTGATTTTGCAGTTCCTGTGGCTAAATTTATTCATGTTTGTTTTTTTCCTTGTTAATTGAAACAGGGACCGTAGAACAAGGGATGCTTATTACTCCCCACGTCGATCTAGATCCATTTCCAGATCTGTTTCTCTGCACAGTGAAAGAAACCATGGGGCGACCAAAAGGTCTTCAAGGCGATCTAGATCGATGTCCCAATCTCTTTCTCTAAATGGTGATAGAAACAAGCGGTCAACCAGATACCTAAGTCCAGGAGAAAATGTTCAGACTGCTCATGATGAGGACTACGCCCGCAGCAGGTCAGAGAGTCCTAGGGGGGCTGCTCGGAGTCCCCTAAGATCTCCTTCTCAATCTTACAGGTATGTACTGTTTTCATTTTTGTAATTTTGTATTTTTTGTAATTTGTCTTAGCCGGAATTAGCTTTTTTGTTACCCAAAAGGTATGCATTCATCCCAGGTTTGATCTGCATGTTGGAATCTGGTAAAAATTACTTCATTATATAGGTCTTGAGATGCTCACATGATTTATAAGGCCTTTGAGACCTACTATTGCTCAAGATTAAGGAGGGTTCGTTTTGACAAAGTGGAGATTAACTGGAGGGTCATGCTCCAATGCAATTGTGATACAGTTGCTTGGCCTGAAATTTGCACTTCATGTCCTATTTCAGTCTTGTATGTTATTACCGAGTCCCAAGTCCCAAAGTTTTAAAAGTCATTTGTATGTTTTTGTTTGATTTGCAACACTAAAAATTTCAAACATATTTCATTAGAATTATTTTTTTCCATCTCAAGCTGTATTTCTTTACCCTTCAAAAAAAAAAAAAAAAAAAAAAAAGAAGGGAAAAACTCAAGGTGGGAATCCACATTAACAGCTCCCCCCACCCTCTCTTGCACCAAAATTCTTCTTTTGTTTTCCTAGCATTTCGAGGCTGAAAAGTTATAGAGGTTTCTGATTGGTATTATGGATTTGTAATCCTTGGCATTTGGTAGCAGCTCAAAGTCCTCTTCAATTTTTAATTTTTTTAGCATGCCCTTTGTGCGTGCTGGATCTTGCACATTATAAATACGAGAACAGATCTCTCCTTTGGTGAACTCAAGTGAGTCAGTCGAGTGGTCAACCCCGTTGTTTGGAACAGCCTGTGAGGTCCGGTGGTAACCTAGAACGGTAATTAGAGACCCTCGTGGATCAACGGAACGATCCAGTAAGGCTGAAGAAAGGTTAGAAGGGCGCCGGAGTGTTTTTCGGCGTATCCTCTCCGACGATCAAGTCAGATTTTGAGAGAGAGGAAGAAGAAAACACTGAGTATAATTTGTAGCAAAGGTTTCACCTTGTTTGTCTTGTCTTTTGTGAGGAGTATTTATACCTCAAATACTCATGATTACTGTAAGTGTGGTCAGTAGGTGATCATTAGATACAGGTAACGTGCGCATCGATTCCTATGAGGAATGTCTTATTTTTTAACTGCTCGGGACCCCGAGCAATCAAGACTGTGTCATCGGCCTGCCGACGGTTCAATGAACTCCTCTCGGCAAGGATGTAATAAATGTCCAGCCTTAGAGACATTTATTATCTTTCACTTTCGAGTCTCACCGCATTAAATGCTGTCTCATCAAAGAAATGGTATAATTAAATGCTTGCTTTCCCAAGTCGTATGTCAGCAAGGGCATCCGGTCTTTCTGTCTCTGATGTGACACAATATGCCACGCGTCCATTCCCCATTGGCTGTGCCCCCTGCCCCTCTGTGCCTTTTGACACTAATTGCGTAAGACGAGGTCATGATAACTAACCTAATCTAGCCTAAGTTAGTGACCTGTACATCAATAGCCTCTGCTGGAGCAGAGAACGGCATCCTGGACGAGGGGGTACATCTCGGTACCGAGGAAGAGGTACATCTCGGAGCCTAGAGGGGGAGGCCTAGCAACCGATGTACCATATCAGACCGAGGGGTACGTGTCGGTACATAAAAATGTATTGGATGCCACTTGATCCCTATGATAAGTACCTCGGGGGAGAGGGAACTTGTGAACCGATGGGTACGTGATCTCGATAACAAGGATTAGTGACACCGAGGACACGGGTCTTCATCTTGGAGTATTTCGGAAATGTCCCATCAACTGCCCCCCAGCCTTCGATCTTTTGACACCGAGGACACGCGTCGTAAGGAGACGAAGGGTTTTACAACAACCCCAACTGCTTCATCATTGTCTCTAGCCGCTTTCCCCTGCTGAGGACGTCGTGCGCATTAAATGCGCCTTTTCATGCTTCGCGCCCAATGATGGGATAGGTATTATATATAAATGAGCTTCCTCTCTTCTTTTCTCATTTCATCGTTCTGAACATTTCTCCACAGAGCCCTTGCCTGAGACTTCGCCAGAGATCCCTTTCCTTCCGTTGTCAACTGTCCAACCATTTCACCGGAGTTTTAAGGCCAGCAGACTCATCCTTGCTTCTGAAACATTCTGGAAGGAGTCGCTTCAAGTTTCCTAGAAAAAACTTTTTTTTACATTCTGGTGAGTCCCAATATCTTTCCTTTCTTCGTCTTTTTGTCTCTTTTGGTTTTTCGATAATTGGAGGTGTCCCCGGTTGTCACTCAGCGACCAATCCTCGGGAAGCCTCCTTGGGAATCTTTGAGGGAAAAAACACCCTCCTCTTTGTACCACTTTTTGGAGATGCCTCGTCGTCGACCTGCCCCCGAGAATCCTCAGGCCAGTTCTTCGGGGTCAGAGAAGTATAAAGTAAAGGGTGGTGAGCAAATTAATAGATTTAGGGTTAAGTGCAGCATCCCCCCGTATGTAGACATAGAGGATTATAACCCGGCTGTGCACCCTCGGTACCGAGGGTGCAATGCCCTTTTATACCAAAGCTATCATAGAAGGCGGAATTAGATTCCCTTTGCCCCCTATACTTCTCTAGTTCCTCTCCCATTTTCACCTCTTCTCCAAGCAGTGTTGCCTTCATGTTGTCAGGATAATTATGGGGGTCCTAGAGCTCAATAGGCATCTCGGGGTAAATGTTGGACTGAACGATATCTTGTTTTGTTATTCCCTCTTGAGAGTCATGCCTCAACAACACTTCTACCTCAAAATCAGAGACCCATCTATGTACCTCGTAACTCACCTTCCCGACTCGAACAAGGGTACAAGGATGACCTACTTATCTTCAAGGGATCTTGGCAGAGAGGTGTCGGTCACGAGTATAACGGCTTGTTATGCCCTTTGGAATGGAGAACGACAAGTACGTTGACGTTCCAGCGGATTCGAGAGCAAAAGGAAGAAGCCGAGGGAGCCGACGTACTTGTCGTTCTCCATTCCAAAGGGCATAACAAGCCGTTATACTCGGGACCGACACCTCTCTGTCAAGATCCCTTGAAGATAAGTAGGTCATCCTTGTACCCTTGTTCGAGTCGGGAAGGTGAGTTACGAGGTACATAGATGAGTCTCTGACTTTGAGGTAGAAATATTGTTGAGGCATGACTCTCAAGAGGGAATAGCAAAAAAAGATATCGTTCAGTCCAACATTTACCCCGAGACGCCTATTGAGTTCTAGGACCTCCATAATTATCCTGACGACATTAAGGCAACACTGCCCGGGGAAGAGGTGAAAATGGGAGAGGAACTGGCGAAGTAGAGGGGGCAAAGAGAATCTAATTTCGCCTTCTATGATGATTTTGGTATAAAAGGGCATTGCACCCTTGGTACCGAGGGTGCACAGCCGGGTTATAATCCTCTATGTCTACATACGGGGGATGCTGTACTTAACCCTAAATCTATTAATTTGCTCACCACCCTTTACTTTATACTTCCCTGACCCCGAAAAACTGGCCTGAGGATTCTCAGGGGCAGGGCGACGAGGCATCTCCAAAAAAGTGGTACAAAGAGGAGGGTGTTTTTTCCCTCAAAGATTCCCAAGTAGGCTTCCCGAGGATTGGTCGCTGAGTGGCAACCGGGGACATCGCCAGTTATCGGAAAACCAAAAGAGACAGAAGGACGAAGAAAGGAAAGATACTGGGACTCACCAGAATGTAAAAAGAAGTTTTTTTCTAGGAAACTTGAAGCGACTCCTTCCAGAATGTTTCAGAAGCAAGGATGAGTCTGCTGGCCTTAAAACTCCGGTGAAATGGTTGGACAGTTGACAACGGAAGAAAAGGGATCTCCGGCGAAGTCTCAGGCAAGGGCTCTGTGGAGAAAAGTTCAGAACGATGAAATGAGAAAAGAAGAGAGGAAGTCCATTTATATATAGTACATATCCCATCATTGGGCGCGAAACACGAAAAAGCGCATTTAATGCGCACGACGTCCTAAGCAGGGGAAAACGGCTAGAGGCAATGATGAAGCAGTTGGGGTTGTTGTAAAACCCTTCGTCTCCTTACGACGCGTGTCCTCGGTGTCAGAAGATCGAAGGCTGGGGGGCAGTTGATGGGACATTTTCGAAATACTCCAAGATGAAGACACGTGTCTTCGGTGTCACTAATCTTTGTTATCGAGATCACGTACCCATCGGTTCACAAGTTCCCTCTCCCCCGAGGTACTTATCATAGGGATCAAGTGGGCATCCAATACGTTTTTATGTACCGACACGTACCCCTCGGTCTGATATGGTACATCGGTCGCTAGGCCTCCCCCTCTCGGCTCCGAGATGTACCTCTTCCTCGGTACCGAGATGTACCCCCTCGTCCAGGATGCAGTTCTCTGTTCCAGCAGAGGCTATTGATGTACAGGTCACTAGCTTAGGCTAGACTAGGTTAGTTATCATGACCTCGTCTTACGCAATTAGTGTCAGAAGGCACAGAGGGCAGGGGGCACAACCAATGGGGAATGAACGCGTGGCATATTGTGTCACATCAGAGACAGAAAGACCGGATGCCCTTGCTGACATACGACTTGGGAAAACAAGCATTTAATTATACCATTTCTTTGATGAGACATCATTTAATGCGGTGAGACTCGGAAGTGAAATGTAATAAATGTCTCTAAGGTTGGACATTTATTACATCCTTGCCGAGAGGAGTTCATTGAACCGTCGGCAGGCCGATGACACAGTCTTGATTGCTCGGGGTCCCGAACAGTTAAAAGAGAAGACATTCCTCGTAGGAATCAGTGCGCACGTTACCTGTATATAATGATCACCTACTGACCACACTGACAGCAATCATGAGTATTTGAGGTATAAATTCTCCTCACAAAAGGCAAGACAAACAAGGTGAAACCTTTGTTACAAATTATATTCAATGTTTTCTTCTTCCTCTCTCTCAAAAATTGACTTGATCGTCGGAGGGGATACGCTGGAAAACACTCCGACACCCTTCTAACTTGTTCTTCTTTGTTCCAGGAACCTTTCTTCAGCCTTACTGGATCGTTCCGTTGATCCACGAGGGTCTCCCATTACCGTTTCAGGTTACTACCGGACCTCACAGGCTGTTCCAAGTAGCGGAGTTGACCACTCGACTGACTCACTCGAGTTCACCAAGGGAGAGATCTGTTCTCGTATTTATATTGTGCAAGATCCAGCACGCACACCCTTCACTTTTTATGGATGGTTGATTCTCATTGGTTGTTGCCATGCAGCCCTCGCTGATGGATGTTCAACACTTAGAACGTATGTTGCTGTCATATGGCACCGTTCATCCCATTGCTTTTGCAAAAGTCTACTTTGCAGTTAGGTAGGGGGACAATGGCTATGTATTTGTTATCCGCAAATGTAATGTTTGGTGGATGGGACTTATCACTATCTGTGGTCTGGCATTAACTTTCATTTTGGTTCTGTTGGATGTAATTTCTCCTGTTTTACTTGTATGCCAACAATTGGTGGACAGAAAAGTGCTTCATGATTTATGATTTTTATGTTTTCAAATCCTCTTTTTTTTTTTCAAGTTCATTAGGATTGCTCTACTTTATGTTTTCTTTCTACTTATGCAAAGTAAACTCTACTTAAATAGTTATTGACATACATGGAAGAAAAATGGATAATTATTTGCTTATATGGTCAGATAGTTATTAACTTGTGTAAGATCTACTTTTTTATTTGTGTGCATGTTATTA